GTGCACGCCGATGCATGGTCTCTGATTCAATGTACTTTCCTTGGTATTCCAGCACAATAGCCAGGGTGTTGAGGCTTGCTAGGGTGTCAGGGTGCTCTGGTCCGAGTACTTTCTCCCGCTCCTCGAGGGCGCGCCGATTCATCGCCTGCGATAGACTGTATTTTCCTTGTCTCCATAGCACCGTAGCCAGGTGGCTGACACTCATGAGGGTATCTGGATGATCTGCTCCAAGAATTTTCTCCTGTCCCTCCAATGCACGCCGATTCACGGTCTCTGATTCATCATACTTCCCCTGGTATTGCAGCACCAGCGCCAGGTTGTTGGCACTTGCTAGGGTATCGGGGTGGTCTTTCCCGAGAACCTTGTCACGCACCTCGAGCGCATGCCGATTCATCGTCTCTGATTCATCGTACTTTCCGAGATCACTCATCACACTCGCTAGGTAGGATAAACACTCCAAGGCGTCAGAATCATTCGGGCCCAATAACCGCCCAAGATCCTCCAGCACATTCCGAAGTATCTCCTCCGCCTCCTTTGCCCTCCCTTGGCGTTGCCTCACCCGTCCCAGGAGCGTGGATCTGCTATGACCTTTATCCCCGCCTTGCCCCTTATTCTCCTCGCGAAATCTGATACAGCGACCGATCTGTGCTTCTGCATCGTTGTAGGATCCCAAATGAAGAAAGTATTCTGCCATGCGGAAGCAAAGATCTTCAGAAAGAATATCCATTCTACCCTTGGTTACCGCAAGTGCATGTGGAATATATGACTTGCAAATATCCCGCAACTCGTGCTCATATTTAGGGAACATTCGGGAAACTATTCTTAGTGCGTTGTCACTCCATCGCTGCAACTCTTCCGGTGATGAATATGCCTGTACCGATAGCTGGATTAAACGGTGAAGCTCATAAAATGTCTCGCCTTCGTGTATGGTGGCGGTAATTAATGAGAATCCCAACAGTTTCCCAACAGCGCGACGGAATTCAACCGGATCATCCATCCCTTCAACCCCACATTCTCTCAGGAGCTGCTCGGGTATATTTTGACGATCAACAAATGCAAGTAGCCGCAAGAGATGGCCGGCTGTCTGTATCTGCCTCGTAATTCGGTCAAAAGTGATGAAGTAAGTGCTCAAAATACTTTCCGTCACGTCAGACTCCCGGCGGATATCGCTAAACTGCTGTGAAAGTAGCTTCGTCCTTCGCTGGTCGCTCTCTCGGAAAATTGTCCAGTAGTCGGAGGGTGGTGTTTCGGTCTCGGCCATGAAAGCTGCTGAACCTACAACAGCCAGCGGCAGGTGATCGATCGAACCCAGGATCATGGCAACAACGTCCTCTTCCCCACCCCTCAAGCTTCCCCAGCTTCCAAAGTGTTCGAAAAACAGTGCCTTGGCCTCATCCGTGGCCATTTTTTCAACACTAATCCTTTCGCACTCTTGCCGGAATGCAACCTGGCGAGATCTGGTGGTGAATATTAGAGTGCCTCTCGGGCCATGTGGCACAAACCTAGAAATGGGACTGTTGTTGCCAGCAAAGTCCTCCTCGTTGTCGGCGTTGTCAATTACTAGGATCCAATCACGGTTGTCTCGGCCTTCAAACCACCTCTTTATACTTAACAGGAATCCCTCTTCCGTCTCAGCGCTAGCTGGAGGATTCCGAACGTGTTTCCCAATAGCCCTGAAGTCCTCCCTAAACTTTAACGCTCCACTTCCCTGCACCCAGAAAATGTCACAATCGGCCTCACTTGCACGCCGATAAACGTATTCGAGGGCGATCTGGGTTTTTCTGAGCCATGTTAGTAAACGATCCAGATATACAATTATTGAATACACATACCCAGCACCTCCTAATCCATGAAGAGCTATCCGGTTGTGGCCATCACGCTTGCAATACCTTTCTACAGAGTGAATAAGATGTTCACGGCCGGTGAATTTACGGTTCCTGCTGTAGGGAATTATCCGATAAGGCTTAGCTGCCTCTTCTGGTCGCAGTAGCGTATTAGCACCCCGCCGAAAGCTCTCGAGAATGCCGGCCATACCTCTTTCCTCAGATTTAAATGTACATCCTTGATACATTGTTCCGACGTTGGCAGCATAGCTCTGGTGGCCCATATTTAGGTTATGGTTGTTGCTACCCGAGACATTATGATCTCCTGAATTCCCGCTGAATTCCCCGCTGATATTGGCTTGGATTTTCCTGTGAATATCCTTAGATGAGCGCTTTTTTTTTTTTTTAATTTACGCAGACATTAAAGGCAGGGCGAACCCACTGATCCATCGTGCTCCTGGCTCACCCGATGAGTAGGGCTGCTTTCGAATGTTGAGTATAAAAGTTGTGAGATGTCGCTAGCGTAATTGAAATAGGAAGTATAGCCTAATTTTTGCCTATTGAGGTGGTCTGAAATTGTTTTCGCGAGACCCTGGAACAACTCAATAACCGAGATGTAGTACCACAAAACGAGTAGTAACGGACCCAACCCTAGGTACGGGGCTCCCTCTAGTTCTCTAAGTTTGAGGCAGCTGTGCGTGCAATCCTAACTAGGGCGATACCACTTCTGTGGACGCTGAGCAGTTGGTGTGAGGATGTTGTATGGGTGTTCCTGTACTCGAGTACCGTACGCGAGTAGAGCGACAGCGTGTTGAGGTAGTGGGGAAGGATGAAATTTGCTCTTCGGAAGTCAGAAGTTTTCCCCGCCCGGGCTGAGAAAAAGTGGGGCAAAAGTAAACATGGCGTTCCAGAGCATATGGTCGTTGGGTTGTGGCTGGTGACTTGATGTATGCATGGCACGGTATGCGAGAGATATTGCGACAATGACTTTAGGATAGCGAAAATATTCCTTCGTCCTACCACAGCGGTACATTTTGAAACATTCCATGAGCTGACTTTTTACAGAATACTCGCATAATGCATATACCTCTGAACCTATCAAATGGTGACGATATACAATACCGGTAGAGTAGTTTGGCCCACCATTTAAAGACGTCCTAGCCTACCAGCCTCTTCCTTTCTTAATTGAAGGTGCAGTCTCTTCAAGGCGAATCACACACATCATCTAGCCGCAAATTGATCAAGCCACCGAGAACAGAAGTGGCGATAACTAGCGTAGCGAGAGGTAAGACACTAAATATACTCGAGTGCTCTTTCACCCCTTCACCGTATGATACCAATAATAATTCCATGACGCCTGTGAATAATTCCGGACTTGCATCAGCGCGCATATTCCTGGCACGGGAATTTCCAATCCAAGACGCGTACTCGAATACGACTCAATGTCTCCCGCCCCTGACGCTGAAAATGGGAAGCCAGTTGCATGCGGTCGCAACCGGAACCCCCGACCTTACCGACTCCCGTCCAATGCATCACGAGGCTGTAGCAGAGGCAGTGAAGCGTTTCAACCGGAAGTCTCCCCGTCATGTAGGGATTTGTGCCAACCTGGAGTTTCTGGCGGGAATCCGCGATATGGCGGCAGAAAACACATCCAGGTGGGTTATGATTTTACGTGAGGTCGGGTGCCCCCCGTAGCTTGTACATTTTAAACAATATCGGGGTTCGTACAGTAGAAACGACTTACACTTGGGCCATACAACGAAAGACTTTTATTGATATGAGTAATAGCAATAAGGGAGAGGAATTAAAGAACTGAAAAGACCAATAGTATCGTGAACTGACAATGAATGACCTTTAACAGAAATAGAACCAATCGGTAAAGGCAAAGAGAGAAAGACAGTAATTTCGACAGATGATCATATCTCTAATGAGCAAAGAAAATAAACGGCTTTATATCCATTGATCCTTCTCTCAGACTTGTTACCAGCACATGCACGATTTCTCTCTTCCTTCTTCGCTATCTTCCTGCTTGCTTTACTGACACATTCCCGAGGTATAGAGTTTTGGGCTGAGGATGGGGTTCAGTAGGTTACTGTTTGATCCTGATACGATAAATATGCAGGATTGGTATGAGGTTCGGTATGAAGCTAATGGTCGTGGAACATCTCCAAAATGGTAGGCGGTATGAGGCGTTCTTGTTAGGGCATTTCTGATCCTCCGAGGATGGGAAATAGCATGTGTGATGAGCAGCTAAAAATGATGAATGTCCAACACTCCTACTCTGCGAATCCACATATATGAAATATCAACCAAAACAATAAGAAAACATATGATAGAAATCCAATCTTAAAAGAAACGACATAGGAAATATTACAAACATCTCCTACTAGCTGATGCTCCCACTGCTTCTATAATTAGTAAATTCCAATCTCTCTCTGAAATCTTTCCACCTTTTCCTGCGGTAGTGGTTTTGTCAGAAGATCTGCGACCATGTCGCCCGTAGGTAGGTATTCAAGATGTACATTGTTATTTGCCACCTTTTCACGGACAAAGTGCTGTTGGATATCAATATGTTTTGTACGGCTGTGGAATTCTGGATTCTTTTCCAAAGCCATACACCCTTGATTATCTACAAAGATTGTAATAGGTAGTTTCGAATCCTGTTCTCCAATAGCATGCCCTATTTCTCTGATAAATCTTTGAATTCATATGGCTTCCTTACATGCTTGCGTCAACGCCATGTATTCGGCCTCCGTTGAGGACAGAGCCACTCTTGATTGTTGTTTACTCGACCAAGTAACTGCTGTTTGGGAGGAGAGGGGATGGTGTCACGGCCACCCAACACGGTATGGGGATGGGATATTAGAATTTCGGTTACATTTATTAGTTGTGGTTTCTTTGGTTGCGTAGTTAGATTTCCTTGTATTATGATTGGGATCGGTTGCCGCGCAGCGGAACCTAACGGAACTTTATGGAAGGATCGCGGCTGCGCACGACGCCAAGGGTTTTCTTTTGTATTAGTGATCATGGAGGATTTCCTATCTATATAAGGAGGTGTGCCCCCTTATATTTTATGTTCTTTACGTAATCTGGTAATCTCCTTCGGACATCTGTACCTAGGAATTACACCCTCGTCTACTACGCGTCCTCTTGAACCTCTGAACCCTGGCCCTGAACCCTTGACCCCCGAACCTTGTGCAACTCGCTTCGGTTGTACCCCCGTACCTAGATCTCGTCTCCGAACCCTTGCCTGTCCCTACTCGTGGTGTGCCTTGGGCTACTCGACCCTCAGACCTTGTCCGTTACAGATGGCCATTCGAGATCGTACAGATGTAGGCACCAGTGCTCTTCCATGTCTCGCGGTTACTGGCCCAATCTGTGTCACTAAACAAAGTTGCTGTCAGTTGAGTATCCTCAATGAAAGGGCTGAAATCGAGTCCGCAATAGTGTGTCTTGCTGATATATCGAAGTAGATGCTGTACTGCTTTCATATGCTGGGTGGTAGGACTCGAGCGAAACTTACTGAGTACCCCAACTGCGAAAGCAAGATCAGGTTGGGTACATAACATTAGATAAATTACACTCCCGAGCATGCTTCTGTATTTTC